AACAGCAGCGCCAACAGCAGCAACAGATGCAGCAACAGCAGCAGCCACCAACACAGGATATGGCCACACCGCCGGCAACAACCACGCCACCGGTACCACCACCACCGGCAACACCACCAAGTAGCAGTGAACTGCCACCACCATCCACTCCTATCAAGTCACCAGTGGATCCCCCTTCAGTTCACCGGCTACCTGTGGTTCCCCCGCCATCTTACCAACCCAGTGAATCATCTGTTGCATCCTCCAACCTTGCCAACCATGATACCACCATGATTAGCCAACAGCTAGCACAACTGGTGGAAGCATTGCACCAACAGAAGGAGGAGACCAGGGAGCGCCAGGCTGCTTTTGAGGCCAGGCTATCCCAACAACAACAGGACATCAACCAGTCTAGTGTCTCCATCCATGGCTTGGTTCACACATTGATGGACCAAACCAACAAGCAACTTGGCCTCATGGGTATTGGAGGGATCAGTCCTATTCCTTCCAATGTATCCTCTTCGTTGGATCACCATCCTAATGGTTTACTGCCCATGAGACAAGGTGTGGAAGGGACCACTGGTTCTATAGCACAGTCCCAAGGCAGTTCAGAACCAGTTGGTTTGGATTCAGGATTGATGAGTGATGTTGAGGACCATCTTGATCCATCCCCTCAGCCCCAAGTGGATATAGATGTTGCCATCCCACCTTGTGGAGATGAAGTCATTGACCATTTGAGGGCCCTCAAGGAGGAGGATAAGACTACAAAGCAAGACTACTTCAACCCAACCAACACCAACACATAGCAGCAGTCTACCTTCAACATTCTCCCTGCCTTACACTCCTGTACCACCGGTGTCATCCAACCATGCATCAACTCAACCTGTCCAACCAGTTAGCAATGCAGCCATCTTTCAATACCCCAAGCGGTACCACAGATCTGGAAACAATGACAGGTACTACAGGCAGCCAGACCTCATCTTTCCAGAGGCATTGCCCCACAGGCAGGCGACACATTACTCAGGAAGGTGGATCATCAACCCTGACATGAGGAAGGTATGGGTCCGCTATGATAGGGCATTGAATGCTGATGAGCTCCCCGCCAATGTGCCAACCAACCCTGCACATTGGGTCAACAGAAGGTATCCTGACGGTTTATTCTTCACTGACCAAGGGGAGTGGATCATCTCTGATGTAAGAGATAGGTTCTTCAACCACGATCAGCCACCTACCCACACACCAGTCACCACAGGACTCACTCCCACCACAGCCTATACTTCACCTGGATACGAAACTGTGCCCATGGAGGAGCCATCCAAGCAAGTACCCACTCTTGGACTCAACCAAGTAGACAGTGATATGGTAAGACCCAGGTCCAAACCATCCCTCTTCTCCAACCTAGAGGGTACATCTCCCATGGACAAGGTGACTCAAGGCAGGATTCCAGACAGATTTGGTGATCCTGGAGACCCTGGTGGCTCAGGGTACCATGGTGGTGATGGCAGCTACAGAGGCTTTAGCAGAAAGGGCAGGCTATGAATATCCACCAGGGAACTCAGTTGTAGGAACACAAGAGCTGGGAGGGAGATCTCTGGTTGATGAAGATCTCCTCCACTGGCTGAAAGGCCAGCTCAAAAGAGCTGGATCAATGCTACCCAATCACTACTTCAAAGTACTTGGGGAGCTGGTTACATTGCCCTAGCACATACCTCGCAGGAATCTATCTACTGCAGGGCTGAGGGTGCTACTGGGTCTCAGGGGTTACTCTTTCATTACTATCTTTCTTACTATAAGCTAAACATCATTACCACGATTTCACTCCAGTTGACAGAACTGGCTCTTTTGGAGAGGATATCCTACTGTTGGAGATCCTAGGAGAGGACTGTTGGCCTGGATCATTCCATTGTATCTAGACTGAAGGCTATATGCTCTGGAACACATAGGCATGCCTCAGCTATATACAAATTGTCACATGGCTGCAATGCTGTGTGTACTGATTGACTGTACACGATCAAAAGCATTGTTTCCATCCGACTAAACCAGCACAGCTGTGGCGCACCCATAGAGGCTCCTATTGCTAATTTCATCGCTCCCCACCATTCGAGTCATCAAATGGGGGCGTCAACAAGCTTCTCTATGTCTGGGTCATTCCTCGACATTCCCACAAAACTGGGAGCATCTGGTTCCTCAGTGTGGACCTTGGCTGTGACCTTAATACAAAGGCAACGGCCCTCTTGAATACATCAAGGTGTCCATTGCTGGGTACCACTTGGAACAAAGGAAGGGACATCACACTTGTGATCTCAAACCCTCCAAAGTAGATGGCTGGCTCCAAAGCAAATGCATTGGGTTGCCATCGTTGTCCAAGAGAGAAAAGGTGTTAGGATCTAGGACGGACGTGGTATGCGCAGAGGTACTTCTTGGGATGGACAATACACATCCACCTTGGGTTGGTCACTCGCGAAGGTGTGTGTGGAACATGTCTTGAGGCTATCTGCAGATACTCCCCATTCACAAGGAACCTGTTGCACCTGGACGTCAGTAAGGATCCCACTTGGTCTCTCCATACTTGCACCATAGCTTGGAATTGGCTTAGAAGCCATCTGTTTGTCTCCCCATAAAGCTCAGAGGGGCAGAGACAAACAGTCGGTAGTCATATTGGAATCAATACGTGGTTGACAAAACGTTACAACACAGACATCTCAGGCAGAGATGAGTCTTTTGACACCACTGGTGACAATAGACAAGTTGCAAATCACAAAACGGTATGCTTGAATCATGATGACAAATCTAGCAAGGGGACTTGTCATACGGTGCCATTTCCTGCGGAAGGTAGCCCCATTGTGGGTGGCATTCTACCCCGCAGACATGGGCAGTGCCTGGTTTCCTTGGGCTTGACCGGTGCAGCACGTACACTAGTCGCCCCATCAAAAATCCAGGTTGGGATTGGGCTTGGGCTTGCCCTTGAAGGCTTCGT